GGTTAAAAAAATCACAAAAAATCAGCTGAGCTTTTTCCAGCTGCAATAACTTGACATTTACAATCCCAATCAGAAGGTATTACACAATATCTTCCAAATGTATCCACCTCTTGGGCTGGTGAAAAGCATAATTATTTGGATGTAACTGTCCATTCTGTCAGTTTACATAAGAAATAAGAACAGTTTTTTTATACATCCATCTTTTGATTAATCTAAATTAATTGAAACCTAGTGTTAGCAAGGACCATTGTATTGAAAATGACATTTCACAAAATTTGTCCCAAGCCAGGTTAGTATCATGCAACGGGGTCGGAGACAGATGCAAGTGCAGGTTAGCCTTTTATTAAAAAGACACTGGCAAACAATTCCAAAACGTGAGGCAAGGATCAAAAAGTGACATAGGCAAAAGGTCAGGCGATCTGCAAACAGTACAATGTAGACAAAACCAAAATCCAGACAACAAGGCAAGATCAAAAACCAGAATAGCGAGATACAGGCTTGGTAAGTTAGGTGAAGGCACACTGAGCGTTACTTCGCAACCGGGTGTCCAAAGTCTGTATATATAGGGTATATGTGTAATTATAAACACGTGTACGAACTCGGGAGCTGGTGAACGTGCCGGTTGAGTGTTGTGCTGGGGATGTGGCGGCCATGTTTGTAGGCACAACATGTTTGTGGTGTGTTCTGGGAGGTGGAGTCTCTGGTGGATTCTGGGGTTTGTGTGATAACCCCCACACCCGCCAAAGAGCTCCCTCTGGGAGCTGAACTCTTCCTAGGTCTACCTCTGGGGCGAGGACCAAGTCCTTCTGGATGCTTGATGTGAAATTCTTGGCAGAGCAGGGGGTCAAGAATGTTGTGTGCCGGAATCTAGCACTGTTCCTCTGGGCCATAGACCTTCCATTCGATGAGGTACTCCAACTTCCCATCTTTGCGGTGTGAGTTCAAGATGTTCTTGACCAGGCAGGTGGGTTATCCAGGTGGTTGTCCAGGTCCAGGTGTGACAGGCTTGAGGTGTGATACATGGAATGAAGGTGCTAGTCTGCTATGGCATGGGAGATCTAGCTTTAACATGATGTCTTTGATGCGATGGAGGATCTTGTAAGGACCTATGTATCAGGCACTGAGCTTCTTGCAACCTTGTGTGCTTCCAATTTTTGGATTGATAACCATACACGGAGACCTGGTAGGAACTGTGGGGTTTCTCCTCAATGTTGGTCAGCAAATTCTTTGTTTCTCTGACCCACTTGTTCCAAGTGTCTGTGTGCGCTCTCCTGTACTTGTTCACTCTGGCTAAACCATTCGTTTACTGTGGGTGAGGCTGTGGGGTTAGTGTTACAGGGAAACACGGGTGGCTGATAACCCAGTACACTCTGGAAGGGTGTCGGTTGTGTGGCTGAGAGGCACAGTACATTCTGGGCATTTTCGGCCCAAGGAAGAAACTGAGCCCAGTCCTACTGGTTTTCAGAGCAAAATGTCCTCTGTAAACAACTGGTTTCCTGGATGGCCCGTTCCACGTGAACAGCGTGCCTCAATCACTCACAATGTCTTTGGGCATCCCAAAGTAACAGAACACATGTGTGAAGATAAGCTTCGCAGTTTCAAAGGAGGTGGGTAGGCCGAGCAAAGGGACAAGAAGTAGGGATTTTGAGAATCAGTCTATAATGACCATAATCATGGTGTTACCCTGTGACTCGAGGAGGTCTGTGATGAAGTCTATTGAGAGGTGAGACCAGGGTCGCTGTGCCGTGGGTAGTGGCACGAGCTTACCCACTGGGAGAGTGTGTGGTACCTTGGCTTGTGCACATGCAGTGCACAACGAGATGAATTTGTGAATGTAATCATGTTAGGCCACCAATACTTCATCTTCAGAAGGTGATATGTTCGCTGTGTACCTGTTTGTCCTGTGGCCGGGGTCGTGTGTGCCCACACGAGTGTGAGTTTGCATCTTAAGCTGGATGAAATTGGCATCATAGGCTTCGCCAATGACTGTTCCATTTACTATGAGTCCTCCATGAATAGTGTGAATTTTAAAGGGGTGTTGAAGTGGTTGTGTGGGGATGTTGAGCCTTATGACTGTGTCGTGGTCCATGAAATTCCCTGCTGCTCTGGAATCAATCAGCACTGGGAGAACAGAGACATGGTCTTAGTGTTTTATCTGCACTTTTAGGGTAAAGGACTGGTGAGAGAAAAACTGACATGGACTGACCATGGAGGTATGGGTGGATGTGGAGGTTCTCTCAGTGAGGCTTTGACTGACTGGAATTCTCTCCCGAGAGGGGCATTGTACTACAAAATGATTGGGGTGGCAGCAGTAGAAACACAATTTTTCTTTTTGATGTTTCTCACGTTCTGCAGTGCTTAGTCTGGTCTGACCCAACTGCAAGGTCTCTGAGTGGTCAGGTTAGTGAGCAGGATTAGTAGCACCCTTACACACTTGGTGGTTGCAGTTGAGGTGATCCAGACAGATAGCCAAATCAATCAGGGAGTCGGGGATCATTTTATCTTCTTGGCAGGCCAATTCTATGAGCACTTCCTGTTTTAACCCCTGGCGGAGAGTGACTTTGAACGCTGGCTCATTCTATCCACTTCGTGCAGCGAGTGTGCGGAACATTAGAGCATATTCAGCTGCATTTCATTTCCCCTGAGTGAGGAGTCATTCTCCAGTTTCTTTGCCTTTGGGGGAAAGGTCAAAAACTCTTTGGAAGAGTTCGACAAAGTGGTCATACGACGTTAATGGCTCCCCTCCATGGTACCAGACAGCTGTAGCCCAACTGAGAGCTTTACCTGTGAGCAAGCTGAGGAATTGTGCGATTTTTTTTTGTTGGTCTGAGACACCCTTTTGGCCCGAGAAATACAGTGAGCACTGCAACAAGAAGCCCTTGCACTGGGAAGTCTCTCCCGACTATTTATCGGGACAGGAGATAAGTGAACTGGGGAACTGCCATGGTGTTTCGCAGGTTTGATTCTCCTGCTGCATCCATGGGGATGGCAAAGTAATCTGTCATGCAACAGAGATAGATGCAAGTGCACGTTAGGCTTTTAATAAAAAGACACTGGCAAACAATTCCAAAATGTGAGGCAAGGATCATAAATGTGAAATAGGCAGAAGGTCAGGCGATCGGCAAACAGAACAATGTAGGCAAAGCCAAAATCCAAAAACAAGGCAATGAGGCAAGATCAAAAACCAGAATAGCGAGATACAGACACAAGGCTTGGTAAGTCAGGTGAAGGCACACTGAGCATTACTTCACAACTGGGTTAGTATCCTAAGTCTGAATATATAGGGTGTGAATGTAATTTTGAACAGGTGTGTGCGATTATAACTTGGGAGATGTTGAATGTGCCAGTGGAGTGTTGTGCTGGGGATTGTAGTCCATGGCAGCCATGTTTGTAGGCCACGATGTGTTCTGGGAAGTGGAGTCTCTGGTGGATTCCAGCATTTGTGTGACAGTTAGCAACATTTATTCAAATAGGAGGGAAATAAATTATATTTTACAATTCTTCAAATTGCTTTGAGTTATAAGCTTTGAAGGTGAGCACACATTAAAGTATTGTTTGCCTCTGCTGAATGCCATTTGCTGACCATTTGCCCTGCTCTTTATGCATTAATCAGTTTGGCAGTGTGGCGATAAGCGATGAGGAGCAGCAGCATCACAGCTCACACAGGCAGGTTTCTGCAGCACTGTGGAAAAGGTCAAATCTTTATTGGTTAGCTGTCAGCTAAAGCTTCACTGACCAAGGAGCAAGTGGGAAGGCAATGATGGCTTAAGGATTACTCATTCCCCTCCTTCATTTAGACTGTTTAATTAAACTGAGGGCAGTGACCGGAAGCCTGAGGAATCAAGGCACATGCATGGCCTCTTCCTACAATCGTGAAAACATTTTGGTGTTTTGACAGTAAAAGGCAAAGCTGTGCAATAATTTTAATTGTTATATTAACTTTAGTAATGCATAGTGATGATTTAAAACACACTACATGCACATTGTGCATATCGGTACTCAGACCTCAGATATAGCTCCAGACTTGAGAGCTATTTAGACACCTGTGTGATAGTTGTGCATATGGGGTGGAATTCGTCAGAGGAGACAGCATTTTTATGGCAGACAGTGCTTATCTCACAGACCGAATTTTTATGGATAAAGTTATGAATGAACTTAGTTCATTCAAGATAGCTGTTAGTGTAGCAGATTAGTGCTCAGTCAGCTTATCCTTCAAGCTGTCAGCACATTTTCTTTACAAGAGAGCACATCAGATTAAAAAAATATCACCAGTGACGACTTAATTAGCTAATGAAAAGCATGATTAAATAGCATATACCCCAATTTCATGACCATGATTTAGTATCTCATGGCTTCAATAAGTTGTGTGCACAAGTAACTATCAGCACATGATAGGAAAAATTAAATGTAAAATAATAGGATGTGCTGGATCAAGTGCTATTTTATGAGCTGGTGAACAATGATAGTGCAAGTTGTGTTGGTAAATTAAACTAAATTTGCACTGATTCCTGTGATAATTCAGGGAGTATTCATGCAGCAATGTACTAGTCTACTATTTTGGGGGGGGGGCACTTGGGGGTGACAGTTTAAAAGCAAGTGTTTAAAGGTGGTGGTCTATGCCTATTGAAAAAACTACTGACGTGTCCTTAAAATTGACTTAAGTCATTGCTTAACCTCAAACTGAAAACATGTAACTTTACCTGCGTAAATATTGACACAACCTTTGGATTCTGAATACAGCCCTGTATTAGTATCACCACACCACACCTTTATATATTTTTTCTTGATGAATTCCTAATTCTGACAAACTACAGATCCATTACATAATTTATAATTCCAGTATATATATCTCTTTTGATAACCACTAGCCAAAAAATTCAGAGAATCAGTTATGGTATTTGGCAGAACACCCTTATCCAGAGCGATGTGCATTTATCTCATTTATGCAACTGAGTAGTTGAGGGTCAAGGGCCTTGCTCAAGGGCCCAGCAGTGACAGCTTGGTGGTGCTGGGATTTGAATTAATGACCTTCTGATCAGAAGTCCAATGTCTTAACCACTGAGCTACCACCACCCTGCACGAATCAAGCAAAATTTAACCTTCTGATTGACATCTTTCTTAGAAAGTGTTAAATAGAATGAATATGCTACTTATCTGAAATACTGAATCAACAGAATCACAGCTGTAGCTATAAATCATCCCAATTGCCAATGCTTTAACCATTAATCAAAGGTACAAACAAAGGTATCTGCCTATCTAAAGCTATATTTCCTGTATGTGGACAATAAGACATGGCTCTTTCTGAATGATGAAGATTTGGAAGCTTCAAAAATATGTGATAGGCAAATTTTATTGCGTCATGAAAATAAGAGATAATCCTCCAATAAGGAAATGCCAGGTGAAGGGGGCGGGTGTGTGCTGGGGGAATTTCAAAACTGTATTCATAGAGTCTGAATTTCTTGATACAGTATGTGTAGGAACTTCTGTGCAATTATCTGCTGTCTAATAACATTGTGGTGGAACTGTCACATCATTTCCTTTTCAAAATATTTTAGTGCTTAATACTTTGGGTCTTCAATATGTTATATGCTCAAAATAGGTTTCCCTCCAAGAAGTGGTACTTAGAAGAACTTCACTAAACATAATAATCTTTGAGCTAGAGGAGGCAGAAGACCAGGCCAAATTAAATGCAGTACATAAAACCTATAGACTTAGAGGAAAACCTGAGTGTCATTATGCTAGGGGAAATGCACACTGCGACAGTGTCCCATATGTCCAAACAAGCACTGCAGAAAACCTTTGCGCTAGTAATGAATCTTGGCACCAATCCTTGCTAGCCTGTGAAAAAAAGTGTGTCCTCTCTGGTGCCATACAGTGACTGAACAATACCAGCTTAAGAGGGGGAAAAGGTAGAGGAAAAAAGTGTTAGAAAAGGTCGAGGTGAGAAAACTCATCCCAACAAAGGAGATTATGGAAAAATGCCAGCCCTATGACAGGGCAATGTGCTGACTGATCATTAACCATGCATCATCAGCAGTGGCTAATGCTGAACTCAGTCCTCAGGACACAGTGTAGAACATCTCCTACAGGGAGCAGCCTGGTCCTATGCCAAGCCATAACCCTGTGTATTCTGGACATTCAAAATAAAGCATCCATCTTTCACAGAATACAGCACTAATAACCATGGTCATATCTAGGACTATAACAAGAAATAACCATGGTCATAGCTAGGACTATGTAAGAATTAAAACACAACAGGACATGCTGTATTAGGAAAATAGTCAATGACAGGTTGATGTGTTACCACCCCTAACTTGACTATTTTCCAATAACAAGTGTTTTTTTTCCTCTTACACCACAGCAACTGCCAATAGTTACAGTTTTTAAGTTATTATTTAGAACAACACATTCAAGTGTTTAACCATTTGTAGTTACATTTAAAGCCGTGGAATGTCTGTGAAACAAGTTCCTGTTATGACTTACAATACAGCAGCTATAAACAGACATTCCCTTATCAGACTCTCTTTTTCTCTCTTTTGATGTTAATAAGATAAAAGAACACAACTTGTTACTGAGAAACCGCAAATCTTCCATCCTGAAGAAAATTTGCTTCTGACTGTTACAGCGCTAGCACTGGAGACTCCTTCCAAAAATGCTAAATAAACATCTCCTTCCAGAAAACTTGTCAACAATTACACATATTTTTAATCTGTTTATGTGGAGCGTCCATTATAAAAGTTCCTGTGTAATTTGGAATTACAGCACTTTTTATATGTTTATATGTGGTCGGCCCCTCACCCCACCCCTTTTTGTTTGACCAAAAGTAATATCAGACATATTTTAACATAATCATGAACTAAATTGTCCTTTATAATAATTGGTTGCAAATCCTTTGCAATCAATGATTGCCTGAAGTCTGGAACCCATAAACATCACCAGATGCTGGGTTTCTTCACTGGTCATGTCTGCCAGGCCTTTACTGCAGCTGTCTTCACTTCCTGCTTGCTCTTTGGGCATTCTGCCTTCAGTTTTGCCTTCAGCATTTGAAATGCATGCTCATGCCTTAAAAAAGCCTCGGGCTGCTTTCAAAGTATGCTTTGGGTCACTGTCTGACTGCACTGTGAAGTGCCATCCAATGAGTTTTGAAGCATTTGGCTGAAACTGAACAGATAATATAGCCCTATACACTTCAAAATTCATCCTCAATAAATACAAGGGAACCAGTTCCATTGGCAGTCATACATGCCCATGCCATAATATGAGGTGGTATGCTTCGGATCATGAGCAGTTCCTTCCCTTTGCCTTTTACGCTTCTCTTCCCATCATTCTGGTACAAGTTGATCTTTGTCTCATCTGTCCATAGGATGTTGTTCCAGAACTGTACAGCCTTTTTTTTTTTTTTTTTTAGATGTTTTTGGCAAACTCAAATCTGCTCTTCCTGATTTTGAGCCTTACCAGTGGTTTACATCTTGTGGTAAAACCTCTGTATTTATTCTGGTGCAGACTTATGAATTGGCACATATAAAAAGTGTTGTAATTCCTACACCATTCATCCACTCAAATTAAAGCTGAAAGTCTGGAGCTGAGCTTCAGCTCCAATACACTTTGGTCAAAAGCTAAAATAACAATAAGTTTGTCAATGTCCAAATATTTGTGGACCTGACTGTATGTGAAATGTATACGGTATATCAAATACATTTTGAAATATATTGGGCATTTCCTTCATTATTTATATTTGCCTTAGACACAAATTTGAACTGTAGGTCTTTATAAAAAATGTATTTAAGACAATAAAAAATTATATATTCAGTCCATACTTTTGACTGGTTTTGTATGTACTGTATGACTACTGTATGTATTTTATTGATGTAATCAGATTGCTTCACTATCATAATTTAATACTAATTCTTAGTCAAATGCATTGATCTAAAAACTAATTGTAATTATTTGTCATGAAATAGGAATATTCAGTGGTAACAACACTCACTAACTAGCCAATGTTATATGTTTGCCTGTACTAATGGTCCAATATGCAAAATCCATTGTTTGCACTGCTCAGGATTTTTCCTTTCACTCCCACAAAGATGGCTCCCTGTTTTCTTGGATGTGGCCCCAAACCTCTGCAGGATAATAATTCCTAAAGTTGCAGACAGTTGCAAGAAAGTAGCCACAGGCTTCAGAAGAGCTGCTTTGTTGAACACTGACCTACTGCCAGGATTCCAGAGAGCAACGATGTAACGTGTCCCTTAAAGTGGCTACCTGGTGGCTATTCCGTTTCTGTAGGAGTAACTGAAGGAGATAAATCATTTATGTAGTGGTACTATGAACGACTGAACACAGTGCCCCCCTGTTTCTACTCAGCAAAAAATAAAACAGATCCAAATACTTATTGAGATGTGTTACAGACTCCAGCCTCAGGAGATAGTTTAAATGGTTTTGGACATGACTGTGGTTTATTTGAGAAATTCTTTCAGGAACAAATGGGTAAAAACAGGAAACAGATACAGAATAACATGCAAGAACTGGATAATATCACAATAAAGAGGACGACTGCTGCTGCTCAAACTCCATTTACTACTGAGGATGGATATTAAACGCAGTTCCTGTATAAACAGAACCTTTTTAAAGGAGAAGTTGGAAATGAATTAGAAAATAAACAATAACTTTAGTTTTACCATGTGCTTTGGACTGTGATAAATGTGCTGCCATTGGAGAAAAAAAACTTAAAAGCTGAGCTTCGGCATTTGGAAGTGTTTCAGTTCTACATGTCATGACCTTTGCTGAAATGCTAGTGAGAAGTGAGGCTGAAGACTGACAGGAGAGGAAGAGACTCATTAACATAAATCTTTTGCTACATATATTGCATATATATTCTTAGAAAAAGGGCACCCTCTCTGATGGGGAAACAATCTGTTCTACATAGACCTAAAGGTTCTATATAGAACCGTTAACGGTTCCGCCACAGGGACAAACCGAACCACTGAACCACTGTTTCATTAACCTTTGACATCAGTGACATTAAATCATTATTAATTGGAATATGGTACAATTAAAATCCAATTTTCATTTCCAAGGTTCATTTCTGATGACTTTCTTTTAACATTTTGCTCATATTTATTAGTTCTCATAATCAAACGACCCTTCTGTTCTGAGAGAGGACATCCATCTGTAAGCATACCATGCCAGCTTCACACATATGAACTGCGTTGAATATGCCTTAATGGGACATCTGTGTATGTGAACTTGTGCCTGATGAGAGTCTCTCTACCAGCCTATGTGCTAGAGTGATCATAGAGATTCTCTGGAAACTAGTACACATTTTCTGTGAGATAAGCACAAAAAATGATCTTACAAATAAAATTGAGATGCAAAGACATATGCGAGAATATGTGCCATCGGATCGATTTGTAGATTAATGGTTAGATGTGATCAATTGGTTTGATGCGTTCAAAATAAATACAACTGTAAATATAAATATTAGTAGGTATAGAAGTAAATATGATTCATGATTCAAGGTCATGCTACACCTCTAATTACAACCCCTTTTTCACATAACCAGTTTGTAATCAGTTTGTAACAAATCGCAAAGTGCGAACTCTGTATCCATCAGGAGGCAAGTTGAATATTTCTAATTAGTGTAGAATGTGCCTCAGTCTGAATGGAGCAATCTGGAGAATAAGAGAATCTATTACATTTATCAATGTTTATGAATGTGAAAGTTCCACACACAAATTGATACACATTTGTTGTAACCTATGATACCTGGAAATGAAAATAGTGTTGATAGCCAATAGGTCAAGCATTGATTTATTATTATTATTATTATTATTAGTTGATATCCAATATGCGAAACATTTAATTATTATTATTATTATTATTATTATTATTATTATTATTATTATTATTATTATTATTGTTGTTGTTGTTGGTGGTGTTCACTACCTAGCTGGTTAAATAAAATTTTTGATGGCTGTATTTTTAAAGTTAAGTGTGTAGCTGTGTGGTTTACAAATAGAAAAGCAAAATTCCTGTTATGGCATGCACTGTACAACATATGTAAATTGTGTGGAATAA